CACGTGCTGGGCCCCTGGAGAGGGGGAGGGGAGGGGGAGAGGGGGACGTGGTGGTGGGGGGAGGGCTGATGAGCCAGCGCGATTGCCCAGCCCGGCCTTGGACAGGAGGCCTGATAAGAACCATTCGCCCCCACGTAGGCTCACGTCTCTACCGTTGACGTGGGGGCAATGGTATTGGCCTGGGGGCAGGGCCCCATGCTGGGGAGGCCTGTTGGAGGCCCGGTTGGGTTTCCCTCCCTGTGGCCTCCTGGGGAGAGGCCTGGGCTGGCAGTTGCCCTACCTGGGCTCCCCATCTGGAGAGGGAGGGGTAGACGGCAGCCACGGGTTTCGGGGAACTACATGTGGCCCCGCATGGGACCGTGTGGGTGGGCTGGGGAGAAGGGCCTCGACCTCTGGCCTCTGGGACTTTGGCCTCTGAGTGCGGGGTCTGGATGGGAGGTGGGGGCAGGGCTTGCAAACCCCCAGGAGGCTGGGGGGTGGGGCCACCTCTGGCCCAGTTTCCTGGGAGCCCAGCCCAGCCCCGAGATTCCTGCGATGGGTGTGCCCAACTTCCGGCCGGGTGTGGGCGGGCACAGGGCTCCTGGAGGCAAAAAGGCAGTTCCCGCCCTTCCCGCCGCCAGAGCCTGCTGGAGTGCGCCACGGAGAACTTGCTGGGACGAGGATTCCCTCCCAGCGCCATGTGCGAGGTCCAGGTGAGCAGCTCTGCCCAGCGGCTGGGCCCAGAGGGGAGCCGGGTCCTGGAGAGGTGCCCTCAGCTGGAGCCTTTTTTGTGCACAAAGAGCGAGCCGTCCAACGCCAACTCCGCGCAGGCTCCCGGCCTGGATGGATGGGCCCCACGGGCCTCGGGCCTCAGTCCTGGGTGCTCCGGCACCAGAGGAGAGCTCTGCCCCCCAGAGGGAGTCACACCCGGACGGACGGCGACCCACCGGGCTCCTTGGCCTTCGGGACCCATGTGGAAGCAGCCTTCATCGGGCGCTCCACCACGGACCATGGACAGCGCATAGTGTGGCAGCAGCCGGCGGGAAGGAGGGAGGGGCTGACCTGTTCTCAGTGCTCCCATGGGAGGCCAGGGGGATGTTCGAGGTTGTGCCCAGCTGCTCTCAGAAGCTCTGCAGAGAGTCCGCCTTCCAGTCACTGAGAGTAAAACTCCGGGAGGCTGGGGGGCACCGAGCAGGGACCTCTCGCAGCCGGCAGGGTCTCAGAGCGGCCGGCAGGGACCTCTGGGCAGCAGGCAGGGTCTCAGAGCGGCCGGGAAGGGCAGAGCCTGCGGGCGGGGGAGGGGGGGTCTTATAGATTCTTCCTGTGGGGTCTCAGGTCTCCTTGCAGATGTCCACCCCTCCCCCTTGGAGAAACTTGGAAGGGGGGGGGGGGGGGGAGAGTCATGCCTGGGCCCGAAGCTGGTCCTTGTGCCTGCAGATGTCCGGGGTCTCAGTGTGCGGGGTTCCTTCCGATCAGGGCAGAAGGAGGTACCCGGTGGCCATGGCCACGGCCAGGCTCAGCCCCTGGAAACCAGCCCTCCTGGGCAGTCAGAGCCCTGTGGGTCCCTGGGAGACCGCTGCGGGGCTGATGGCCCGATCCCCTGAGTTCCCTGTGCCTCAGAGGCGTTCAGCGCCCCCGGGGTTCTCTG